ATTATGTTACTAGATCACGCGGCGTTCCAGAATCGCGCGGGGCCGCACAAATCGTTTTACGCGAGCGCGTCGGTCCGTCACCGTTATTGCGTGAGCGGTGGTGCTGTTACGCTGCTGCTGCTGCGACAACGTTTTCTTCGTTTTTTCCCACCCGTCCACCGATTCGACATCAAAGGGACACCGCGCATTGTATTATTATGTATTATTATTATTATTATTATTATTATTGTTATTACTATTATTATTTTATACATTTTTAAAAACACTCACATTACTGCACAGAACGGCGAGCGAAACGTTCCCGAAAACTAATAAAAGTACTGTTCGTACACACACACACACACACACACACACACAAAACATATATACGTACATATATATATATCGTATAACAATAATGATTCTGCACGCGAGAAGAAAAACAAATATACGCGCGCGCGTGCCAAGGTAAATAGCAGCGCAGCGCTTGCCGTTGCCGTTTTCCTCTCGTTTCGGGTAAATATTTGATTTATAATCACAAAACTTTATAATAGCCGTGATGTATTGATTCGGGGAACAAGCGGCGGACAATATATATTTATATATTGTGACCGTTTCTGTCGAATAGAAATTCATGTATATATATATATATATATATATATATATATACATGTATATATTCACAATTCGGCTGTTAATTTGAAATCATAAATTATGGTAATGAAAAATTCCAACGGAAAACATTATCTTATCTGTTGTCAAAAGATAATGAATTGCAGTATTATTGGTTTCTATTGTTGTCGCAGGGACGAGATCTACTCGTGTTATAAAAATCTGTTTTGCTGTTGGATTCATGAATTGATATTGTTTTATCGATAAAATAAGTAAAATGGTATTTAAATATGGAATTATACTTTACTTGTTTATCAAAACTATGAGAAATAAACTATTTCGTTACTTGTTCTGTTTATATTTTAGTTTTGTTTCAATAATTAATTCCTCTATAACGTATTACAAATGCGTATTAATATACCCAGAGCAATTAAATTCTTTGAGTAGTTCTGTAATATAAATGTTTGTACCAGCCTTTGTATTTAGAATTCATAAGAAAAAATGAGTACTACACAATGTACAAAACTCAATTATATTTTCTTTTTAAATATGCTAACAAAAAGCCGTGACTTTATTTAAATAATTATTAGGTTTTTATTTTACTGGAGTAAATATGGTACTTAAACCCAGTTTTTAAGCAAAATAGAATTATATTTATAATAATTTATACACTCTGCAGGTTTATTAATTTACTAGTGAGATAATACATTTTAAATACTCCATCATTATTAACAGTTTTTTAAATAGATTTTCTCTATAATTAATGTAAGAATTTTTAGATTTAACTTTATTTACATGCCTTTTTAGTACCTATATATAATTTTAACTGTTTAAATAGTAAAAAACTTAATTAGTTTTATTTTTTAAAAAATGTTTAGCATTTCAATATTATCTGCTAATTTTTCTAAAAACCAGCCTTAGATTTTTGCGGATAGGGTGAATAAATTTACTAGGTCCTTTTGAATATCCAAAAAATATGTACTTTATAATAATATTATCAATGTTATCATTATACTTTAAATTCTTAGCCAAACGAAGAACGTATAAAGTTTTTTTTTCGTTACTGTAAACACTTTATCAGGTAATACATCTACATTCAAAAATCCATGAAACACTTTTTTAATTGGAATTAACACAATTAGTAATTTCAAATGGTTGTTTTCTAAGTTTCTTAATTGTTTTTCTAAGTGTAGATAATCATGAATATTTTCTATACGGTTTATATTTCTTTTGATAAAATAAGCAAAAGTGAAACGTATACAACGAATGAGAGTGGTATAGTGTAATGATAACATCAATTCAATTTTATAAAAAATTAATAATATAAATTCATTCAAATATTATTCAAGTATTAGATGCCACTACTTCAAACCTAAATATTTCAATTTGTGACTGTGTTGTTCACAGCGTAAAATTTTACTCATATTAATAATATAATATTTATAATTACATGCGCTCATGAACTAATATTACAAATTACAACAACTTTTGACTTAAATATGTACCTACTCGTAAACTGTTACATTAAGTAGGTATACTATTTTTTTTTAACTAAATAGCTTAATTTATACTTACCGCTTAAACGATATTTACCACAGTATTAACGCATGTGTAAAATAGCTTTTATTTTATTATTTATGCATCGTTTTCATTGTATTTTATTTCCCCCCCCCCCCATTGTATTTAATGGTAAAAATAGTTGATTTACAAACACAAAAACATGAAAATACATAATATGTACAACCTAATATTTAGTATTTGTGATAGAATTCAAAAATTACAAATTATTTTAGTAATGGAATGTAAAAAAAAAATGTGATGTTCCTAAATGTTGCATTTATAAACGCATAACAACAATAATTATT